CCCCCCCCCCCCCCCCCTGGAGGGGCGGGTGGGGACAAAAAAAATATTTTTGGCCCCCCCCCGGGGGGAGGGGGGGTGTTTCCCCTCAAACCCGGGGCTTGGGCCCTTCTTTGAAAGTTTTGGGGGCCCCCCTGGGGGGGGGGCCCCCTTTTTTTTGGGTTTAAGGCCCCCCCCCCCCCGGGGGGGTTTGGGCCTTAAAAATTGGGAAATCAAAAAAATTCCCTTTTGGGAAAACCCCGGCAAGGCCCCCAAGGGGGATTTCCCATTTTCCCAAGAAGGGGGAGAAAAACCTAAACCCGCAAATCAAAAAATTCCTTTACCCCTGCTGAAAGAAGGCCAGGAAGAAGGTTTCCCCCCCCCCCCCCCCCTGTACCTGGGCAACCCATCAACCTTGGCTTGTGGCCTGGAACAAGAGCCTCCCCCCATGGGGGGAAGTGCCCCGACCACCAGGGGGCAGCCTCCTGCATTGAGCATCTGCCCCCTGGTGGTCAGTGTGTGTCATAGTGACCAGTCATTCCCAGTCTTTCTGCTGTTAGGGTCAGTTTGCATATTACCCTTTTACTATATAGGATAGAGGCCTGGTGCATGGGTGGGGGCCGGCTGGTTTGCCCTGTAGGGTGTCCTGGATCAGGGTGGGGGTTCTGCTTGGGTGCCTGGCCAGCCTGAATGATGGGCTGATGGATGTTTGCAGCTGGTCACACCCCCTTCAGGGTGGGGGTCCCCACTGGGGTGCCTGGCCAGTCTGGGTGAGGGGCTGAGGGCCGTTTTCAGGCTGGCGGGTGACTGAAGCTCCCAGCCTCTTTTTTTTTTTCTTTTCTTTTTTTTTATTCTGGGATTTATTTACCTTCTATAGCTGTCACTGGAGCTGAGAGCCAGCTCCAGCTCTGAGGCGATGGCTGGCTGAAAGCAGGTATCTGGGGTTTGTTTAGCTTCTATAATTGCAACGTTCTTGCTTTGGAGCTCAGAGCTGGGCCGTGGCAGGCGGGGAACCTTGGCTTCCTCCATCACTGGAGCAAGCAAGCCTCATGTTCCCTTCAGCTGCGTGGCTGCCAGCCGCCATCTTTGTTGGCAGTTAATTTGCATATCCTGCTGATTAGCCAATGGGAAGCGTAGCGGAGGTATGTTCAATTACCATGTTTGTCTATTATTAGGATATATATATATATATATATATATATATATATGGAATTATTTTGCATGCTATGCTATTAGAAATATGTTAAATTAGCATATTTGACAATTAGGTCAGAAAGGTCCCAGTAGACACAGGTGAGGTAAGGAGTAGGAGATGGTAGATGGTTGTTTACATTCTCACTGCAAGAATGAAGTGAGGCAGGAACACAGTTGGCATTCAATTATGTGGAACAGAGGATCCAGCTCAAACTCTGTTGCAGAGTCTCCACTTAGTCCATGGATATAATATCCTTTTTTTTAAAAAAGTATATGGGTAATAATTGTTCATGGAGCAATGGTGGACTAGATGGCTTTACCCTGGAGAAGAATCTCAGAAGCACTTTGCTCCTCTGCTCAATGCCTTCCAACTGAGTCCCATCAGATGGAGAGTAAATGCTCGAGTCCCTGCCGATGGGCCTTTCCTGCTGAATGCTGCCATCTCTTGCACATGTTAGGCACACTCCTGCCTTATGGCCCTTGGGCTTACCATTCCCTCTTCTAGAATCCTTTTTCCGATAGTCATTAGGCTTGTTTCCTCATCTCCTTGTGTTTGTTCAAATGTCATTTTCCTAATGAGGCCTTCCTTAGCATATTTAAAATCATATTCCCACTACTCCCTGTACTCCATACTCTCCTTTGGTTTATTTTTATAGGATTTATCCTTATAACAGTCTCTATACTTTATGTTTTACTACCAGTTGCCAGAATGGAAACCTTTTTATGGATTTTGTTCACTATTCCCAGTGCCTAATATAATGTCTAGTTTATAGTTAGCACTTGAATACATGAATAAAAAGTGCTTATTTTTTGCTGGAAAGAGAGCATTATAAAGTATTTCTTACAGAGAAACAATATTAGCCATATTAACAAACTGTGCTAGCCCGGCAGACTGATGTAACCCATAGAGTGCTAGACAAAACGAGATGTCTGTTACGGGTATCACCGTTTTAAGTGACCTAGCTTGCAGCACTGGGATTTTAGGAATGGAGGGTGTTCACAGAGGCAGACCTTTTCCAAACATGCTCTTGACTGACAGGGAGGGTTACATATAGAATGAGGGCTTTGCCTTTGTACAGAGGCATAACATGATACAAGGTCCTAGAAGTATTTCTGTGTTCAAGTAAAGGAAGTAAATGGAAGCCCCTGCCCTCCTGGTGCTTATTTCTGTTTTTTCTCTTCCTATGTTATGAGGGGGAAGTTTCATATTCTTGGCGCTAGCCCAGATGTCCTGGCATTGAATTTCTAGTTCTTGCTGATACCATGCATGGTAGAACAAATGCATGGAAGTGTTGACAAGACAGGAGGGACAAGTGCAAATTGCGCCTGTGCATGCCCACAGCTTTGGGAGCCCAGTGAGGGTGGGATGCAAGGAGTGCTGTCCTTCCCCACTCTGTTGCTGTCTCTGCCAGCTCCTTTCTCTGGCAGGGATTTCCCAAGGGCTGACTCTGTCATAACCACATATTCTTCCCATCCCAGGCTGGAGACCCCCTCCACACTCTCATACTGGCCCAAATTCTCCCGAGGTCTGTAAGGGGCCCTCTGGTGGTAAGGGGGAGAAGTACTGAGGGTGCTGCCTGTCCCAGAAGCTTGACAGCTGGAGGCCTAGTGAGTCAAGGTTCACTGCCTCCAGCTGTGTGTAGAGTGCCAGGGACAAAACTGGTTCCAGTTTTTTAAGCAGGAATTTCTGGTTTGGGTGTCTGTCTGTAGAAATGACTGACTTGAAAAAGCTACGGGGCTCAGCCAGGAACAGGCTTGCTAAATGGGTCAGGTCAGGTTGGAAGACATTGTGCATCACTACTTACCCAATCTACCCGGTGAGTGCTTAGAGCACTTTCCTCGAACTGCTGTAAATCTCTGCATTCATTTGTCCTCACCAGCTTGTCCTTACTGCTTGACCTTCTAGGACTAGAGGCAATGTGGAACAAAGCAAGAATGATTCAACTCAGGCAGCAACTCATAAGGATGAAGACTGAGATTTTGGCCTTCCTATAATTAAGATGGCTCTACATGCGACATGCTCCTTTTTTTTCCCTTTTTGCCATTACAGTCCAAAGATTTGAATTCTAATTTTGTCTCCCTTTTTTTCTTCTTTTCCCATACATATTCCAACTACACAGCAATTGCTTTCATGATTCCTGCCTATTCTTTCACTCCTATTTTTAAACCATCGCCATGGCCCTCAGCCATCCCCACCTCACTCTGTTGTGTTCAATTCATCATGTCCAGCAGTGGCTCTCAACATAGGGTTCCTGGACCAGCAGTACCAGCATCAATTGGGAACTGGTTAAAAGTACAGATTCTCCAGCTTCTTCCCAGATCTCCTGGACTAGAAACTTCCCTGGTGGGGCCCACAGTTTTAGTTCAATAAGGCCTCAGGTGAGAACCTCTGAGACTCTGATGAACGTCATAAACCAATTCACCAGCTAAAAACATTGTTTCATCAGTGGCTTCTTCAGCTCAGACACCTTGAATGGCTCCCCATTCCGACAAGATTGGTTTGATCTCATCAACTTCTGTTCTGCATTTCCTTTGCTCCAGTTGGACTCCCTGTTCTCTGAAATTTTTGCCATCCCATGCCACTCCCCTCTCCACGCTCTCCACACGTACTCAGATCCTTTGTGTCTTCAGCAGCATAATCCAAGTCTTACTTCTGAGCCTGCCCAGAGCTGCTTCTTCCTAACCTTATTCTGCTCTTGTGCACTTACATCATCCAATGCGCTCATTTA